ACGGGAAAAAAAAGTGTAAATATCTGATATTATGAAACATATGTTTATTTTATTCGCTCTTTACCAAAAAACAAAACTAATGATAAAACGTAAATACAGATTAAATGACACAGTCTGAAATTTCTACGAAATTCTTTATATAACAAGCATTTGCTGCATTTCTTCTTCAGAGAATTGCTTTATTTTATTGCCTTGAAAGGGATAGTCTTCAAGTTGTCGTGTTCCGTGCACATGACAAAAGCCACGCAGCTGTTTCATTACGCAACGAAGCATAATATTTATAAGTTTCAGGCTTGAACATAAACTCTCTCCTGTACAGTTAGTTCATCATCACTACGCACATAAACACTCTGAGTGCAATTTCAACATTAAGGAAAAGATATTTCAAATTGTCCGAAATTATATTTATGTAGAATCCAGCGGAAATCTCAAAATTTTCATCAAGAACAATGTAGTCCTTCAGACGCTCGCATTCATTTAAAAGTTCATAATAATTCAGGTCTTTGTCATACATATTAGCCACGTCTTCCTTATTGGATCAGGAGTGATTTTGAATCCAACGAAGGCATTCTATCTGTGAATGAACCTCTGCACGTTTTATCAATTCAAAGATCAGAGTGTCCAGAAATGGGAGGAAAGTTTCTATCTTTTTTCAATTTTACTGAAAAAGTAATAACTTCTCCCAAAGACGCACACCTGGTTGTCTTTTGTGTTTTCTTTTTCCATCAATGTGTAGAGTCATTAGGCTATTTTGAAGCAGAAAGACGTGAAAAATGTGCAATATCCTCGCCGGCACTCCTGGGCTCCTCGAATATGCGCAGAGTGTGCTCACCGTTACACCACGAAGGCATGTAGAAAGAAGGAGAAAATATCTTATGTACTCCCACTTTTAAAGAGCGACTGGAGATTAGGGAACCCAATCGCCAAATCCTGGTGATAAAGAATCCTTATTCACCACCTTTTAGTTCGGGCGCTGCTGTAAAATTATTAAGTTTTTTTTTTTCAATGCGAGAGAAGTGAAAAATGAGCATTGCCCTCGAACACGTGTCGAGTGTGCTAACCGTTACACCACGAAAGCATGCTGGTAGAAGGGAGAAAATACCTTATATGCTCCCCCTTTTAAAGGGAGATTGGAAATTAGGAGACACAGTCGCCAAATCCAGGTGGTGAAGAGTCATCATCCACCTCATTTTAGTTCGAGCGCCACTGTTGAGTCATTAGGAGTTTTGAAGTAGGAAAACGAAAAATGAACAATGTCCTCTCCGGGACTCGAGCCTGGATTCTCGAATGCGCTCCAAGTGCGCTAACCGTTACACCACGAAGGCATGCAGAAAGAAGGGAGAGAATAATCTCTAAGTGAAAAGTCTTCAATAATTGTACTAACTTTGATGCTGCAATTACCGAGAACATTATCGAATCAACAAAAAATGATTTACAATCTGAAAAAAAAGGAAAATATAATTTTTGTTTTCTATGTGGTCTCCGAAAATTTGTACTATTTTTTATCGATAAATGCAAATGAAGCAGTACAAAAACATCAGAAAATTTCATTGAATCACATAAGCACCATTTTGCTCTATAATATTTTGCCATTTCTTTGCCAGCTGGGGACTTCCTTCTTTAGAACATTTAGGGTTTGTTCATTAAGAAGTTATGAAGATGTTCTTTGACAGTCTTCGAAGACGTAAACTCCAGGCTATTCAGAAAAATTTGAAGTGGCCTAAAGAAATGAAAACCCGAGGCTGCAAAGTCTGATGAATATGGCGGGTGACGCAAATCATTCCAGCCTTATTCGTTAAGTCTTTGCCTGAAATTCATCCAAGTGCAGGGACGAGCACTGTCACGATGGAAGACAATACATCGACGATTGGACAGTTTTAAGCGATTTGCCTCGATTTCTGCTTTTAAACCTGCCAGTTGGGAACATTACTTTTCCGAATTTATTGACTGTTTTGGTGACAACAATTTAGAGTATGGTAGAACTACAAATAAATAATATGAGTAGTCCCATCAAGAACAAAGTGTACTTTTTTAGGATGCAAATCCCCTCTCGACATTACTAAAGGAGATTTCTTTTGGTTTACTCTATGTTTTTGCTCTTGTAGTATCCACTCTCATCTCCAGTAATAAGCCGTTTGAAAAAAGGAGAATTTTTATTTCTTTTCAGCAGAAAATCACGTACCAAAATTCGAGCAAGTACATTTTGTTGTTGAATCAAGGGGTTACTCACACACTGTAACAGATTACATACTCACTCTTTTTGAAATGATCATGTACTGTACTTTTTAGAATATTTATTCCGTTTGATGATTCCTAAACTATATAACATGGATTTTCAGTGATTCTTCTTTTAATAGGTCCTTATTACAAAGGATGATCGTCTAGAGCGGTATCACTTTCGAGGCTGAAATGTCCATGCTTCTGAAATGGCCTTCGAACTATATCATCAAAAACAGAATTTCGTTAATACACAGCCGAAATTTTGTAAGCAAACTGAATAGCATTTCTTCCTTTTTTAAAAACAAAGGAACGTATTGTGATGAATATAAACTTTTGGGTTTTCAATTCTTAGCACGTCTCTGAAACAAAAATTAAACACATCCAAGAATTGCGCAATGTAAGAAGGAAAGATCTTATTTAAATATCTGTTACGATCAAAGTCGCTCCTTATCAGCAGTAACATAATAAACAAAAAATTAAAAAAAAAAAAAAAAAAAAGCACTTCGAATTTGGAAGACAGGTAAAACTTTTTGGATGACCCAATAATTACATAGAATTAATTTAAATGGGAAATATATTTTCACAGATGAGAAGATAATGCACGTAAATAGATTAGTATGGCTTCTTATTCTTGTGCCTAGCTGTCCCATGCTGTTTAGCATCTCTTCCTTGGCAGGGATATTTTAATGGGGAAATTCCTTGTATTCGTAAGTAACAATACCAAGATTGTTAAGGAAGAATTTTAAACGTTGTATCTTAAAGGCACAGTACATCGCATATTTTTATCTGACTGTAGCAGTTCACGTACTATTTCACTGTGGAAGTTTATGATTTCCTAAAAATCATGCTTAGTACTTTTCAATGATCTCTGCGCTGATTTTTCAACTTCACTTAGAAGATCTTTGAATTTTCCATCTCCAATCAAAGCTGTATTACACGGCTTCTCAAATTTCTTCTCTGAAATTAATACTGCTTATCCGATGGAAATTTTTCTTCAAAACCCGATAACATTGCCTTAATTTTTACGTATTTTCTGAATATATTAATTCATTGCTTTAATAAATATTATCAAAAGTACTAATTTTATATGAAATGAAGGCTGAATAATCATGACATCGCTGACTAATGACCGATGTACAGTCTAAATGGAACTGATGTGAATGAAATTTGGCCATTCTTTCTTCATATAATAATTTTTTTATTGGGTCCTGCGATCTGCTTCACACGCGAGATAATAAAATTTAATAAGTCGAACTAAAATTTCTTTAACAATGCATTAAAGTTTGAATCGTAGCATTTAGTCTAACAATATTTATTTTGAATACCAACAGGAATTTCATGTTTCCTATTCCTATGGATGAAGATGAAAGAAATTTGTTTTCATTGTACAAAAACACACCCTTTAAAAAAACAAAGAGGCTTTGCTTTTTTTTTTGTGTGTGTGTGTGTGTGTGTTTTGCATTTATAATTAAGCAAATCCTTGATAGCAAAAAGTGAAAAATTAAGGGTGAACCGCGAATAAAAAAATTACAAGAAGGAGGTGCCAAATAACAGTCCTTTTTTCCACACCCGTGGAACTGTACACCGTGAATTCGTTCTGGAAGAATAATCTGTAAATGCAAACGTGTGTATCAAAGATGCCTATGAGATCGTATGGTGACGTGCGCACTTACTATTTAGAAGCGGACGGATTTCTTTTTTTATGACAGTGCTTTAACGTGCACAATATTAGTTGTTAGTAAACTACTAAATCAATGATTCAATTACTACGTTTCTCTATCTTCTTTATTTCCCATTAAAAAAAAACCCGAATATTTTCAATTGTTTATAACAATCAATCGCAGAAAATTGCGTGATCTAGGAAACTATCTTATGAATTTCAACCATTGCATTAGTTTGTTTTCAACCTCGAACGCCTATTGGTTGCGCAAGTACTGTTCTTTTCTATGTTGGACTGTAAAACTTCTGCAACGAATAATTAAATTTGCTTTATGCATAATTTCAAAACAGTATTACTGATATGCGTTCTGAGCAACATCTATGTAATATCCGAAATAATAAGATAGCCAAATAACGTAATTAAATATACATATAAGAGAAAGATATAAATTTTAGAGAATGAAAACAAAATTATTTGATAAAGGAATCTGTAAAATTTAATGTATAAATTGAGATTATGAATAACGTACACAATTCTGAATTCATAGATGCATTAAATTTTAAAATTTTCACAAATGGCATAATACAATAATATAGTCTCAAAATCCAACTAGAGTAAAATGATAAATCATCAATTTAAATTACAATATTTCACTAAGAAACTAATAAAAGAACAAACATTTAGAGATATATTTTAGAAATAAGGTTTTTTTAAAACAAACACAATTCATTTTCTTTTTTAGAACTTTTGTTTCTATTAGTTAACCCTAGATAGCAACACCAATATACATGTTAAGACAGTAAGATTTTTTGTCCTTACGTTAATCGATTTCCTTATAAATTTTAATAGTAAGAATTCTAATAAAAACAAAAGTTTTTACAAACAAATCAATTGGCAAAATGTACTATAAAATTAAATTAAAATTTTTTGAAGATTTTTAAATTTATCATGAGACATTCGTAAATGGAAATTATAAAATTTAGCAGCAAAAATATTTAAATATAGCTCAACTAATAAGATTTCAGACGAATATACGTAGCTGAAATTCATATATCAGAAGAATTTGCAGTTCTCACATCAGAACTGAGTTCATTTCTTTCAATTCGGTTTGCAAAAATACCTGTTAAACTCCCAAAGGGTTCTTCGCACGGTCCCGGCAATTGGGTTACTTGGATATCGAAGGAATTTGATGTACTACTTGTCGAAGAAAGTTCCAGAATCATACTATCTTTGCCGGGAGGAAAAGGAATGAATTCTGCAATAAAAAAACTAATTTTTAAAAAATTAGCAGGCATGAAACTTTTGATTATATTACATAATAATAATAATAATAACGAAACCAATCGCTTTTTAGGGGCTCTCAACCGGTGGGGAGTTCCTCCTTGCCCACGATCTTAGTATACGAATTGTTCAACTTCAGCCAAATTGTTCAACAGATGTAATTACAGCCTGATGGCAAAGAAAAGCTCGGACGTAGCTCAATTCACGGAAGGCAAAAGGGCAGGGAAAAGTTAAATTTAATGTCCGGTCAGCGAAGCAAAACCAACAGAAGGTTTTTTTAATTATAATTATTAAACATTATAAGAATTAAAACTAAAAAAGAAAAAAAATTCTGAAAGGTTTCAGATTTTAAATTACGTCTAAAGGGGCGTTTTTTAACATTCTCTGTGTTACCTTTATTTATTAAATATCATGTTCTTCGCACTTAAACCATAAAATTCAGTTAAAGAGCAACAGCGCAAAATAATTTTAAATTGAGCGTATCTTTGGAATTTCCAATACACAGTCTCATGCGCTGGACATAAAAATGTTTTTTTCTCCACAATGTTGCCATTACTCGCTTTGAAATCCTTGAGTTTGTTAATCAGAAATTCGTTAAAGTTTTTTAGCCCATATTCGCAGTAGGATTAAGTCATTCAAAATTGGATGGCTCTAGGTACTATTTTTTTTTATCACACATTGAGAAACATGCATACATTTATGCAGATTCTTCATTATTTAATTTCTTCAATTATAATACAGGGCGATAATATTTGGGGCAACAATTTGAAGGGTGATACAACTTTTTGAAGATTTCAACTCTAAATGCCAGAACGAAAACAACAGTCTCTCAGGGACAAAGCCCTTTGGACTAATAATAATTTCTATTTACTGAGTACAAAAACCTTAAATTAGCATGTACCTTTACATCATACTAAAATAAAATTTTTAATTTTTATATTTTATTTTAAATATACCGCTTAAATTTCAAATATGTGTAGCATATTACTCCATTCCCTTTTCTTCTTAACATGAGTTAGAATATTGAGAAAGGAATAATATTTTGATATGTGATGAGAAGGGAGGAGAAATATGGCAATAAACGAATCTAGTTATGAATAATCTAGTTTTGGAACTGCTAAAACATCTGCAGTTTTTCTTACTCTCCGCGTACCTATTTTACTCTTTCCTTATAAGATTGAACATACTCTTATGATCCTTGCTTTATTCTTATTTAATTCTCTCATTACTTATTTACGCTTTTCTTGTCGTCTAATTCCATAATCTTAGCAATGGATTTATTTCGTTTTATTCCCTGACATTTAGTGCCAGCAATGGACCATTTCTCTTTTCTGTTCTTGCTATGATGCTTGCTGTGCTTGCTATGCCCATTAGCATATATCTCATTAGGATATGTCTGTGAAGTCCGATTCCTGACACGGAATTATTGATTATCCATAAGAGCGCTTTTAATGACAACATGCATATTCAAGAAATATTATAATACTGGATAACACCCCCAATTTAGAAACGGATTTCCTTCTTTTTCTCTTTTTTTTTTTTTTTTTTTTTTTTTTTTTTTTTTTTTCCCAAGTAGCAAAAATTTTAAAATTCAAGCAATCAGAAGCTGAAGCCAAATTAAAACTGCGAGCCAAATGACTGTTGCAAATTAAAGATTTACTTTACATATTGTTGCGAAGTTCCCAGCTGCGGTAAGATAGCTTCCCCGCAAAGCGGGTTTAAGGTTGCCAGAAAGTAGCAAAGAAAGGCGGGGTTGCCAGATTTGGCGGGAAATCGCCATGTGACGATATTTGGCGACAAAATTGGCGATATGCCATAGACGGAACGAGAACATTCTAGAACGAATTCTTACCGGTTTTCCCGAGAATGGACCCGTAGGCAGGTCAAAAGCTCTCTCTCTCTCTCTCTCTCTGTATATATATGCATATGTAAAACCTGCCAGTACGCAAGTTATTGACAGTATGTTGAGTTTAGAGTAATGTCCTGAGTTCAGAGATTAGCTCGAGAGCGATCGACCGAGTCGGAAGCTGTACTTAGCATTCCATGTTTAGTTATTATCTGTATTAATTTCTGAAATAATCTTCTCTATCATACACCTGCTTTGATTTAAAAATAGTCTGGAAAATGCAGAACTCTTTTAAATCCCACTTAAATACAATATCTTTTCTTTCCTCTTTTTTTTTTTTCTCTCTCCCCCCTTTTTTTAAAGTCCTAAGGGGCGTTAGCCCAGAAGGGTTATTAATCTCCACACTACATTTTGCGTCGAATCACTATAAATGGCAGTATCAGTTTTCAAATTGTTGCCACCAAATATTATTGTCCTGTATTATATTTAAAGAAATTAAATAATGAAGAATTTGCATAAACGTATGGATGTTTCTCGCACTGTGAAAACGCAACGATACCTGCAGCCATCAAAGTTTGAATAACTTAATCCTCCACCCGAATATGGGCACCTGGAAGCCCGAATCTTGAATTTGTTTTATTATCTATTTAACATTTTTTAAACTTAACGAATTTTTGAATACGAAAACTCAACGATTTCAAAGGGAACAGTGGAAACAAATGTACGGAATAAAACATTTTGATCTCAAACGGGTGAGATTCCCTATCAGAAATTCTAAAGATATGTTGTTTTTAAATATTTTTAGCCCAAATGCTTTCAAAACGTGTATGTATCGAGAAATCTGTATCTGAAAAACATACAAGTAAATGTAATAAAAACGCCCCTTTGGGCATAATAATCTGAAAGCTTTCAGATTTTTTTTTTTCAAATTATTTTTAAAAAATTGACTTCAAAATCCAAAAGCTTTAATTACGTTCTCTTTCACTAGATTTTGTTTGCAGATTTTTTAATTACATAGGTGTATTTTTAAAAGCTGAATTCTTAAAGAAAATTTTTGTATTTTCAAATTCTCTACACTTTTAGCTTTCTGAAAATACCATTCTTTAATCTCTATGAAAATTAGAACTGTAAAAAAGTCGAGTTTTAATTTGTCATCGAATGCTTTGATCAATGAGGATTTTTACATAAAAAGACGATTTTCTCCAAAAGTGATTTTTTATACTCGATGTACCTTTTCTCAGGAACTACTTATTGATCACAGGCATCTAAAATTTTTATGGCTTATTTATTATGTTTCCTAATATTTACTGAAATGAGCATTTTGTGATAAACTAAGAAAAAAATTAAAAATTTTTTTTTGTGTGAGAAAAGTGCTAAATTTTAATATGCCTAACAAAATATTCTGTAAATTATTCTAAAATTCAAAATGTTTCAAAAGCTCATTTCAGTATTAACAGATAGGTATACGTTAATTACACAAAAAATTTCAAGCGTGTATCTACAGCAGATTTCGAGAAAAGGTATAGCGAAAATGGCCAATTAAGCATTGTCGGTATAGGAGTTTTCAACACCCTTTTTAATTTTAAAATTGAATTATTGAGAGAATTTTTAACCTAGTTTTAGGACCATAAGTGCCATTAGTCTCGAAACGCACTTTTTTGTCCGAATCTCTTTTCAAGCTTTTGCCACCAAATGTTATCACGATGTGTAATAAAAGAAAATTAAAATATGAAGAATTTATATCTATGCCTGTTCCTCGTAATGTGAGAAAACGAAGGACCTAGAGTCATCGAAATTTCCCTACACGTAGTCTTCCACCCCATGGACACGTCGAAGCCCGAACTTTGAATTTCGAATTAGCTTTTTTATTTATTTCATATTTTGTACAAATTTAACGAATTTTTGTTTAACAGACTCGACAGTTTGAAAGCGAACAGTGTTTGAAACAAACCTTTTTTTCTCCAGCGCTCGAGACTGTTGCCATTCGAAAAAATGTTAGATATTTGTCTTTCAGCTTTAATACACAAATTAGGCTATTTACAAGCAATTTGCCTCAGATGAAATACCCGTTATCTCCCCGCACCAGCGTGTTTCCATTCAGTAAAGCCTAAGCTATTTATTTTTGATTTAATATTTCTGTTACTGAGTAGCAAAATTAAGTGATTGAATAGCAATAAACGCAGTTCATAGGAAAATTTTTTCTACATTTTAATCTAACTGATTTAAATAAAAATGCATTTAAATCATGAGATGTCTAATTAGCTATATTAATTTATTTATATGAAATTACACTAGTTCATTAAAAGTATCATATATTTTTTCCTTTTTTATGATATGTATTTTAGGCGGCTGACTGCGAAAGCGGCTAGTTAAAAATATAGTGCTACGAAGAATCATGAAAACTGTAATAGATACTGAAATCACAGTTTTAATGAAACACGTTCATCCTTTTACTGAATAAATTTCTTCCCGCTTCCTGCTGCTGAATGTTGCCTTTCTTTCCTGCCTTTGAAACACAGGATGGGAGAAACTGACGATAAAATTTTCGATTTCCTAAATTCTGAATTCACATTATTACACAAAGAACATTGACTAATGATGCTACTTCTAGATAGCCTGGGTGATTTTAAGTGCAATAAACTCTCTCGCAGCGACCGCATCCTTAAAAGACCACTTATGAAAATGAGCAGTATTTCGAGTGACATGAAAAGAAATTTGTATTAAACTTTCCCTCTATTTAAGGCGACTATTTCCACAGTGGGTCAAAATAGTCCGGTACCTTGGGTGGTCGTCCTAGAGAAAGTGACTGTTCCAAAAAGATGTCCTAGCCTTAATAACATCTGAAAGAAATTTAATATAAATAATTTTGAAATTATTGGTTTATTTAGATTTTTACATGAGTGTATCAACTGTGAAAAACCTTCTAAACAAATTTTAAAACGCTTTAAATCTTCTGAAGTAAGTAATAATAAGTAAATAAGTAATATTTACGTAATAACGTAAGTAATATTTTTCACCGTTGATAAACTTTTTCAGCTAACATTTTAGAGACATTAGGTTATTTGGAAGCAGGAGACATGAAAAAGTGAGCAATGCCCTGGCCGGGAATCGAACCACGGACTTCTCGA